GTCAACGTAGTCCTTCCGATGAAATGAAAGTCTGCTCAAAAGTGAAAAGATTCCTCGTAACTGGCATTTTCAATCAGACCTACTCCTCGTGCATCGAAGATGTGCTTTCTTCTTGCCACCTGTCGGCAAGGGACTCGACACCCATTGCTCCCACCAACTGGTACCGGTATCACTTGCACACACCGCCCCTGTCCCCCACCCCATACACACACACACTCATCCGCCTAGAATCTGAGCCTGATTGGGGGCTCGGTCTGTAGACAGAAGATGACACTTGCCCGTTTGTCAGCGCAACAGGGTACCGGTCGGGACGTCGCGTGTGCAAGAGACCGTCTTCGCGGGCGTTGCCCAATCTCGGTCACTTCATTTGACACGGTCTCGGTAGTTCGTCTGTGTTGGAGGGGATATAACCTACAATTACTCACCGGATGGCCGTTGCCTTGCCTCGCCTCGTCTGGGAAACATACAATTTGCCTAATGACGATGGGAGCAGTGATTTTGTTTGACCTCGCCACTCGGCTCCGGACAGACGAGGAGGCGGGCTCGAGCAGGTCAAGCAAACGCGGAGAGGAGGACATCAGCAGCGAATTCGATGACGCTGAACTCAATCGATTTAGCGCCTTGACCCGGCAGTTGGTGAGCCCAACCGAGAGTCCTAAGGCTCGGCAAGGAGACCACATACTGTACCCTCTTTCCGTGTTTGGTGGAGGGGAATAGCGCGATGTTATATGATTGAAGCCAAGCTGAGCTTTATTCATACAACCGCTGTGGGCTGAGAGACGTTTCAGGCGATGTGAAGAGACGGCTGGACAAGATGCGCAAAGTGGGCGCAGACAAGAGCGGTTTTAGGCGTCGGGAAGGCTTGTCCTTTAGATGAGACAGACAAGATATCATTTTCGGAAGGAGTACTCTACAAATCCGACTTGAGGATCCAGACTTCTTATACACGCCGTGTTATCAATCTAGCCTGCCTAAGTAGTTCAAGAAGACAGAATAGATGCAAAGAAGAAGAGGATCCTTCGAAGATAAGCTGACTCTGTTTCTCATTTCGTAAAAAGTATTGGGCAAAACCCTTGGTTTCGCCATTCCGAGATCGAGCGCTAAGTGGCTTAAGCCAGAATCTAAATAGAACGCAACCACCGCCAGCCGCGTACATGCCCCAAGACTTCCTTTTACATGCTATGCGTCACTTGATTCACACAACTTTTCCCACAACCAACCCACTCCCCTTCTCCACATTTTCGTTAGTGGCCCATAACAACATTTGCTCGAACTCGGCGTATTCCACCGGCTACTCTACTTACGACAACCCCACAAGGTCCATCCGGAACTATTAAATTGTACATCTTTCTGCTATATAAAAATTTGGTGTGCTTCGGTCTCTGTGGTGCAACTCGACTGTTTATTTTAAAGGTACATTTATTTGAAAGGTTTGGATCCGTATTAAGTGAATCAGCTTAAAATCCGGTCCATTAGTTTGGACTTAGCCGGAACTTGTTTTCTCTCAATTTTCACGTCATTTCCATTGCTGCCCCCCATTCAGCTACGTTCCCTACAATTATTTTGTGTAATGTCTTTTTTAAGTAGTCTTTTGAGTAGTGTTGAAATTTCTATTGCTATACCCACGTTCAGCTGTGTCCGGTAAACATATTTTAAATTTGGGTAAAAAGTAGTGTGTTGAGTAGTATTGGCATTTCGATCGGTATCTTCACGTTCATCTGTGTCCACTGTAATTACTTCAGAGGCTCGGTTTTAAGTAGTGTTTTCAGTAGCGTTAGCATTTATATTGCTATCTTCCATTTCTAACTAACATTTGGTTGGAAGGGATCATTGTAGAGAGAGCCAGCTTGGAATACCTGCTCATTAGATTAGGCTGTTCGCGTTAGAAAAAACCGCGACTTGTTTTCTCCAGGTTGTGACGAAATTCCGCTTGCGGCCCCCCCTTAGACAGTGCTCTCAGCAAGTATTTCAGTTTTTTATTTTAAGTTTTGCTTTAAGTAATGTTGACATCTTGAGTGCTACCTTCACTTTCAGTTGTGCTTCTACAATTTATTTGAAGTTTTTGGCTGGCCATCTTTACCTGATTTGGAAGCTTGATTTTTTTGGAACCAGCAAGTCGTTACCTCTTCATCCATGTCCCACTCAGGGTCACTTTAATCAGAACATGTGCTTGAGGTATGCTAAGCAAAGATGTTAACTGGCAAAGCGACCACTACCGACTACGAACAAGGAGAAACAAGCATCTGTTTCCTAGCCTGGGGTTTGCTTTCTTTTCGGCGTATTCAAGCATTAGGAATTACTTACGAGAAGGTCACAAAAATTGCTGATAATTCCGAGACACACCGCTAAAATGAGTAATTCCGTTGTGTATAAAGACAAATAAATGTTTTTTGGTATTAACAGTAATTAATGAATAAGAACTTGGTCAGCCCAGGTCGCTTAAGGGGATTCGAGAACTAATAGTT